GATTCAAGAGCTCTCAACAGCCAGAAATGTTATTGCTATATCCAATCCAAGGATGCAACTAGAATACAAAAAGGACAAAGCACCTAGTGATGACCACTCCTCTGGAGTCATCATTAAAAATCAAGTAACTGCTTATTAACTGTTTCAGTATTTCAGCTAAATGACTTGAGAACTTTCTGGCAGATAGAAGACAGAAAAGCAAAAGGGAGTGTGTCAAAACAAAGAAGATAGAAAAGTTTAGTATGTGAAAGAAGAAAGGAGTTTAATGAAGCCTCAATGGTTTAAAGGAAATTAAATGGAAACTTTTAATCCTAATTGCTTTTCACCTGACATGCTTTAAGGAGTTTTAAAACCAATAAGAAACAATAAGGAAAGAAAACCTGCTAAAATCTTTTAGAATTTACACGATTCTTACTCTACTACAAGAAAGCATTATTTGGTACAAGGTGTATGTGTGGATGTACATGAACAGTATATATATTATCCAGATCATGTTGTGCTATGTACAGGTCTTTACAATTCTTCCTGAAGGTTAAAACAGTTCATTAGAATTCAAAATGCGTAATCATCTGAAAGTTGGCACTTGTTAGGCTCTTGTCAGCAATGATGACTGGCATGTTTTATTGCAGACCAGTTCCAGCCAGTGTTTGCCAACTTGTTACAACAGAAGTCCAGCAATAGGTGGGTAGAGTGCAGGAAAACAGTGCCATGTTTCTCAATTGGAGACCTGTAACAAAACAAACAGCATTATATAATGAATTTGTAAATTACAGAAGAATTGATTATAATTGTTATTTACATTCTATTTCCTTGGCAATAATTTTTTTTTGTGGGGGGGTATCGGTATCGTTTTAAAACAGGGTTTTATTACACAGTTCAGGCTGTCCTCAAACTCTCACAGTTCTCCTGCCTTGGCCTGCTGTGCTAGGATTACAGGTGTATGTCATGATGCCCAGCCTGGCAGCAAATTCTTAATTTTACTTTAAAAGCACTTTTGTGTTTGCCCATTAAAGAAATCACTAACCACACATAGCTACTTTTAAATTAATATTAATTAAATAAAACTTAAATTTGAGTTCATTAGACTAGCCACATTTCTAATATTCAACAGTAACATGTAGTTGCTGCCAGACTGAACAATACAGATAGATAGTTCTATTGTACAACATGTATAGATATTTGAATATTCAACTCACCTGTAATCTAGAACAGGATTTTTAGAAGTCAAATGACTTTAAAATTTAGAAATATTTGCGGGAAAAAAAAAAAAAAGGAAGTATTTGCGAATGTAAAGTTGGGCATGGTAACACACCTATAATCTCAGCACTCAGGAGCCTGAGTTCAAGCCACACAGTTCAAGACCAGCCTATCTCTGTTACTCTTCACTTGTTGCTCAGACAAATTTGTGACACTCAAAATCAGAGAAGGAAAGGTTTATTTAGCTCACAGTTACTGGAGGTTAACAGTCCATACTGAGCTGGCTCCAAGGCAGAGCAGCACATAGCAGAGAGCAACCTTTCATGGCAGCAGCAAAGGGCAGACAGCCAAGGGAGGAGTAGCGGCAACAATGGCTGCAGAAGGCAAGTCCGTCTCCTTTAAATTTCATTCAGGCTATCTGCCCCAGGCTGGGGGCCATAATCCCAGTGGCTCATGAGTCAGTCACAAACTCTAGAAATCCACCCTCTGACTACATGAAGCTTTGGGGAGACAACTACACACAAACCATAATACACCTGAACCTACATAGTGAGATTCTATTTTAAAAAAAAACAAGTAGTAGAGAGAAAACAATGTAAAATCACCGCACTTCTCAACCTGCTAATTTCTAGCTAACTCTTTTTTTTTTTTTTTAGCTGACTCTTAAGGTTCAATTCAAATCCACAAAAGACTATCCCAATAAACAGTTCTAATTACTTTTTATCTGCTGTTCCATATCCTTGGATTGGAAGTCAAGAATATCTATATAAAAACAACCACCATCTTATACAGTGCTTATGATGTGCCAAGCAATATGTTAAGTGCTTTACACTCAGGCAATAAGGGCTCACAATCACATCTAGAACAGGATTTTCCCCTTCTTTACAAAGAAAAAGCAAGACATGGTTATACAGCTAATGGAAACATATTTTTCCTATCCAAAAAGTTAAGAATAAAGCTGTTCAAAGTTTCGTAATAGGGATTGACCTCAGGATCCTGTGCTTGCCAAGCAGGCACTTATGCCGCTGACCTATCTCCCCGGCTCATCTCTAGCCCTTTTTATTTTGAGAGAGGACCTCACTATGTCACCAAACTGCCTAGGATGGACTCGAATTTGCAATCCTCCTGACTCAGCAGCCCAGAAAGCTGGGCTTACAAGTATGTATACATCTAGCTTGGGGTTGTAACTTTTAGATAATGTCCCTTGACAGTTTTACAAAGTTTTACAAAGATTATACTATACCCAAATTAATCCCTCACCAAAAATCTTCCGGGGCTAAAAGAGAACTGAGATTAGAGTTTGGACATTCAATGTAATCATTTCCCTGTGAAATAAGAGATGTGAATTTTCAAGGCCACAAAAGATTCATTTACATAGTGTTTCCAAGTAAAGTTTTAAAGAAAAATTATCCCAGGACTGATACTGCTAAGAGTACCTTAAAAGCTAAAATCAGGAAACCTAACCTTTCAATAGCAAGGACTCAGCTGTAAATAGCATTAACTTCTTCAACACTGAAAGAAAAATCTATCTTCCCTTTCTTTCAATAAAATTTATTCCAGAGAAGCTCAGTTCAGAAAGGCTAAGTGTGAAAACTGAAGCACTTATATGTTGACTGAAATTAAGTATTCTCTTAATTATTCCTGTTTAAAAAAACACAGGGGGGAAAAAAAAAAAACAATACACAGGGCCTTACCATGTAGCCCAGGCTGGTCTTAAACTTGCAAACCTCCTGCCTAGGCCTCCTGAGTAGCTGGAATTATAGGCATGTTACCACATCTGTTTTGTTTTTTTTGTTTTTTTTGGGGGGAGGGGCACTGTTCTTCATACATTAGTATCTCTGACATTTAATTATATGGTTGTCTATTTGAGTCTGTATTATTTATTTTAACTGCTAGGTAATATTCCATTGTATTGACAACAACTTATAAATCTGTGTATGTGACACTCAGGAATGAACACAGACCTTTAGCAACGAACTATATCCCCGGCCCTTTATTTTATTTTGTATTTTGAGACAAGGTCTCACTAAGTTGCTCAGGCTGGGCTCAAACTTGAAATCCTCCCGCTTTACCTCCCAGAATACTAGGCACTAAAGGTGTGCATTATGCCCAGCTTACAACTTACAGATGTTCCTCATTTAACAACTCAAACATACAACTCAAATGTGCACTGTTTGGACTTATGACCTTTCCCCCTTTATATTGATACAGTTCTGTACATTTTGTTTATATAGCCTCAATGTCCTTTGTGAGGTATAGTACACATTATGTACTATTTTAGTGCTGTAATTTTTCCTGACTGTACTGTACAGTAGTTTGATTTATTATGTCTTTTTTGAGACAAAATAATTGCTATGCAGTTCAGGGTGGCCTTGAGTTCACTTTGTAGCTCAAGCTGGTCTCAAACTCACAACGATCCTCCTGCCTCAGTCTCCCAAGTGCTGGAATTACAGATGTGCACCACAAGGCCTGGCAATACATTAGTTTTATGTTCTGTTCTACCTTATAGTGCCACACTTGAGAATTATGCAAATAAAAGCAACATCATGCAATGAGTTTCCTTTGCTTATTGTTTTGCTCTGAATATTGTAATGTATATACTATATACAATCCCTTACTTAGTAACCAATTCAATTAATAACCCAGACTCGGGACCATGTTCTATTAATTAAACAAGGAATGCCTATAGCCGATTGTATTTTAGGCACAACGGTTTTTTTTTGTTGTTTTTTTTGGTGGAACCAGGAATTGAACTCAGGTCCTTGCACTTGCCAGGGAAGCGCTTATGCTACTGAGCCATCTCCCCAGCCCCTGGGCACAATGTATTTGTTGAGTAAATAAATACAGCATTTATGCAAAGATGGCATACATGTCATAACAGAAAATGTGCCAACCCCCATTAGTATACTTTAGTTTGTTAGTTGCTCAAGTAATAGTTCCTGTTCCAGTTCTGGTTGCTTCTGTCTCTTAAAAAAACAGCTGGTCGCTGTGATGCACTGTATAAGCCAACCTTCAATTGACAAGCCAGTCTGCCTCTCTACTTCCTGGCTGCTTATCCCACATAAGCCTTAGACCACCAGAGATCAGAGCATGATATTTCGGGAGTGATTCCCAGCAATGCCCATTGATAAATAAATCTGCCTCCGAATCCAGGGCGTGGTTTTGGTTACTTCTACTGGCTATTGCAGTGTCATTTCTATAGTGCCTACAGAAAAACAAGCTATTTGACTTTTTTTTTTTTTGATATTGTGACAAGACAATCTCAGGCTAGTTTTGCCTTGATGCCCCCAAAAATATATATGGTTTGCCTGTTTCGATGCAGAAAAGAATGATTTGTAGTAGGCACTTATGAGACCCACTGATCACATATGATACAAGTAGAACAGTTGTGCCAAAGAGCCAGAAAAATTATCAGTGCACTCTTTATTGAGCTCACTTCTAGGATCTCTCTGTATAGTTTAAACTGGCCTCAAACTCATGGTGATCCTCTTGCCTCAGCTTCTCAAGAGCTAGGATTATAGGCATATGCCACCATGCCCAGCTTGGACTCACTAAGGACCATTTGCTTCCAACAGTCCTTCAGGTGATAATAAAACTGATACACTTGGAGTTAAATAAATTTTCAAATATAAACAGAATCTTTAGAAGTGATGCAGCAAGGGAGATAACTCAGTGGCATAAGTGCCTGCCTGGCAAATGCAAGGTCCCAAGTTTGATCCCCAGTTTAGAAAAAACAAGTGATGCTACTTTTGAATTTTTTGACATATATATGTCCTGTATCATATACATACATATATTTTCTCAAGGGGTATATATACATATGCTTTCAGAATCACAGGAAACAAGTGAACATTAATTCTCATTGTTATTCTGGATTATGAGATTGTTTAATGCATTCACTTTTTTGTCTTTTGCACTCCTCATTAGTAAGCTCCCTTACTACATATTAAAGATGTCTTTCTATCCACTAAAGTTTTTATTATAGCGGCAGATAGCAGTGGTTCCATGAATGCTAGTTTCCCTCTCAAAGATATTGGGTATTTTCAATAATTTTTACAGAGGCAGGCTCATGGTTCTGTGATATCTTGCTAGTAGCATTTTAATTTCATTGGTCCCTTGCAATGATCTGAAAAAACTCCTGAATGAGCCAAAAAGTGACTGGGTGTGATGGTGCATGCCTGTACTCCCAACACTCAGGAGGCTGACAAAGAAGGATCAGTGTATATTTGAAGCTAGCCAGGCTTAGCCAGGGAGTTTGAGGCCAGCCTGAACTATATGGCAAGACAATGTCCTTAAACCACTGACCCTTCAAAAAAAGATAAAAGTCCTTTAGCATAGTGGGTGGAGCTTTCACTTTCTTCCTTTATCTTCTTGTAGCACAAGTGATCTGAAAGGCTCAATACTTCAAAAGCTGTATTTTTAAAGATGGTAGAAACCAATGATCCAAGTATGAAACTGACTGAGTGGTCCCCTACTATTACTAGTTATTCCAAATGTGAAATAGGAATACACTAATTAGGAAATGGAATA